GGTAATCCTGTTTGTTCCTGGTGCTTGGCTGGATTTAGATAATGAAACCCACCTCCTGGCACCTGAGCTGAAGGTCAGGCTGACAACACACCTGCCTCTGGCAAGGTATGTTTCCAGGAGGGCTCTGCTGGGCACCGCTGGATTCAGATGACAATCAGCTCAGGGGCCTTTCCCAGGCGCTCTCTACAGTTGAGTTGTATGAGTTCTTTATAAATTTTGGATATTATCTCCATATCAATGTATCCTTGGTGAATATTTTCTCCCATTCAGTAGGTTGTCTTTTCATTTTGTTGTTTCTTTCACTGTGAAAAAACTTTCAGTTTGATGTAGTCCCATTTATTTTATCTTTTGTTTCCCTTGCCTGAGGAAATATATTTAAAAAAAAATACTGCTAAGAGAGAAGTCAGAGAGTTTACTGCCTATGTTTTCTTTTAGGAGTTTTAGGGTTTTGAGTCTCATATATAAGTGTTTTTATCCATTTTGAGTTTATTCTTGATATGGTGTAAGAAGGTGATCTAGTTTCATTTTTTGCATGCATCTGTCCAATTTTCTTAACATTATTTATTGAATAGACTGTCTTAATTCCATTGTATGTTCTTGCCTCCTTTGTCATATATTAATTTACTATATAGGTGTGGGTTTATTTCTGGGCTCCAATCTGTACTATTTTAAATATAAATATAAATCTTAAGATATTAAAATAATCTCCCTAATACTGAACTCTAAAACACAGTTGTACACATTCATTGATTGGAATTCCATGCTATCTTAAGGATCTGGTGATTATTAATGGGATCTGTTACTGAGGTTTGTTTCATTTTAGAGCCTTGATTAAGGTTAAAGCACCCTCCCAGAAAGCATATTAGACCCTGGAGCCTCCATTCTCAATTACATTCTCTCCTTCAAATCTTTAGAAGCTTTCTGTATAACAAACATTCATATCTCACTTTGGCCTGCTATATACTTCTTTTAAAAACTATATATTTTATTGATTTTTTTACAGAGAGGAAGGGAGAGGGATAGAGAGTTCAAAACATTGATGCCCACTCCCTACTGGGGATGTGCCCGGAACCCAGGTACATGCCCTTGACCGGAATCGAACCTGGGACCCTTCAGTCCGTAGGCCAACGCTCTATCCACTGAACCAAACCGGTTAGGAGTGCTATGTACTTCTTGATTTCCTCAACCCAGCAAGTCCTTGCTTTTATGATGCTGTTGGCATTATTTTTCCCTATTGGCTAGTGAAGGTACCTCAATTTCTTGGCCTTTAGATCCTAACTGGAGGCTTTGTACCCAAGTTTCCTTTCAAGTCAAAAGCCCTCCCTCTTCACGTATCAGAGTTCACTAAACTTCTTGTTTTTCATTTTTTAAAATATATTTTTTATTGATTTCAGATAGAAAGGAATAGAGAGAGAGAAATAGAAACATCAATGATAAGAGAGGATCATTGATTGGCTGCCTCCTGCACGCTTCCTGCTGGGGATTGAGCCCACAACCCAGACATGTTCCCTTGACTGGAATTGAACCCAGGACCCTTCAGTCCTCAGGCTGATGCTCTATCCACTGAGCCAAACCAGCTAGGGCTTGTTTTTCATTTTTAACAATATCTCAGTGTGTAAATAGAGGTAAGCACTTAATTTTGTATAACACAAAATATGCCAATATTCCAAAAAATAAAAGCCTAGGGAAAAGCCAGAGTTGTGGTTATATGTGTGTGCACCTGTTGTGTGTGTGTGTGTGTGTGTGTGTGAATTCTGTCCACCAGGGGATGTTGTTTTGCATAACACAGCTGTGTAGGTAATATAATTTTGCCTTTTGACATCATCCCAGTAAAAGCAATTTCAGCATTTTTCCATATCTAGCAGGACTCACAAAGCATATGATTTGTGAGTATAGTTATTTCTTAGAGGACTTACTGATAACTGTATCTCTTTGTCTCCTTAATTGTATAAAACTTTTATTCTGATTGTTACCTTATATATTCCATATAGCTGCCCTGTCTGTTGAAAAAATTCACAGCAATTGATGATGGTATTACAGTTCTTTAAGTTACGTGACTTTATGTGTACTTCCTTTTTATATTTGAAAATGCTTTATTTCAGCCTGGATATGTGATAGCTTATTTTCATATGTGGTAGAAGGAAAATAAGACTGGAAATTGGGATCCAGGGGTTCTAGTCCCAGGTGAATCTAGTTATAGTTCCCTAGTTAAGTTGGGTCACTTTGGTAGGTCACTTTACCTTTCTGGCTCTCAATCTCCTCATCTGTAAAATATTGCAAATTGAACTCAGTGATCTATAGGGTCTCTAACACTAGCAATTTTATCCCTGCAGCTGAATAAAAACTTCATCTTTCCCTCCCACCCCAAGGTTTTCTTTACCCTGTTTCCTTGCTTTGCGAATCACTGACCAAATTAATATAGTAGTCCAAATGCTTTAGCTAGTCAATCAAGACCCACATCAGTGTTGCTTTGCCAGCATTGTCTACTGTTCATAATAGGAACCCCCAGTTATATATAGATTGAATTCTTACTGCATATGCCTATCTTCATTGTCACTCCTCCTGTTAAAATTCACTTTTGGTTAAAGGGGAATGGTTTATACACTCTGAAGGGGAGAGAAATCAGAGTATGATTTATTGTTCCATTTAATTATGCATTCATTGGTTGCTTTATGTATGTGTGCTGACTGGGGATCAAATTGGCAACCTTGGTGTATTAGGACAATGCTCTAACCAACTGAGCTACCCGGCCAGGTCACTTATTGGTTAAATAGATTTTATTTTTATTTATTGATTGAGTTTAGACAGAGAGAAGGAGGGAGGGGAGTAGGGAGAGAAAGAAAGAGAGAGAGATATCATTTTTAATACATTTTTATTGATTTCAGAAAAAGGAAGGGAGAGAGATAGAAACGTCAATGATGAGAGAGAATCATCTATTGGCTGCCTTCTGCATGTACCCCCAATGGGGATCGAACCCACAACCGGCACATGTGCCCTGACTGGGAATCGAATTGTGACCTTTGGTTCATGGGTCGACGCTCAACCACTGAGCCACACCGGCTGAGTGAGAAATATTGATTTTTTTTTGTTTTACTTATTTATGTATTCATTGGTTTATTCTTGTATGTGCTCTGACCGGGGATTAAACCTACAACTTGGGCATATCTGGATGACGCTCTAACCAATTTAGCTACTTGGCCAGGGCTTGGCTTGAATTAAAAAAGAAATACTCATGGACACAGATAACACTATGGTAATTGCCAGAGGGAAGGGGGGTGGTAGAAGAAGGTAAAAGGGGGGTAAATGGTGATGAAAGGAGACTTGACTTGGGGTGGTAAACACACAATACAATGTAGAGATGATGTATTTTTGAATTGTACACCTGAAACCTATATAATTTTATTAACCATTGTCACCCCAATAAACTCAATAAAAATTTCTTTTGGGCAACAGAATAATCATCATCTTTAAGGACACACTTAAATATCACACTTTCCTGTGAAAAAGCCTTTCCTGATCACCTAGCCCTTAGTGATTTTTTTCTATTTCATCGGAACTCAAATCAGCATTTATGACATGCCTGACACTCTACTTGGCATTTTAGGAGGTAGAAAGATGTAATAAGTCCCTGAACTTAGAGACAGGCTTAAATTGCAAATGAGCATTTTGTGCAGAGGGAGTAGCATGAGCAAAAACTTGGAGACAGCAGAATGGAAGATGTGTTTGGGTAAAGCCTTAGAGCCCATGGCCCTTACTTATTTGGTCTGTATATTGTGTTACAACAGATCTTGTGATAGTATGCTACCATATAATGTGAAGTGATGGTTTATTTGTTATTTATTGGCCACCCAGTTTCCAGTTTCCTTTTAGAGTAGTTCTTCTTCATTATTAGTTTGGGTGGCATGGGAAATTTTGGTGCCTATATCCAATAAGAGAAACCAAAAGGATCAGGTCTTTTCTCCCAACAAAACTATAGAGTGGTGGCCACATGATGTAAGGTTAGCCAGCTTACATTATTTCTTTGAACTTGCTTGACTTCTTTCTTACCAGTCTAGATCTCTTTACCCATCAATTCAATCACCTTGTTGCAATTACCCTCAAGTCTCTTGACTCCTTGTCTCCAGTTCTCCCTGCCTTAACAAAACCTCCAAAACTATAGGTGCTCCATTCTCCTCACTCACTGGAATGCCTACAGATTGAACTCCATTTACACCCACTCTTGTGCTCCTGTCTGTATAGAGGAAGTATGTTCCTTTGGTGTAAGACCAGTTCTTGCATCTGGAATTTGAATCCTCTCCCCTGCCACTTCTTCATGGTCCTTTTTCTATCAGTTATGTTTTTTCATATCTTTGACCTCTCAAGTGTTTTTATCTTTTTATCATATAATCATGTTCACATGTCATGTTGGGGAGGTGGGTAGACTATCTTTGACCCAAAATCTTCCTAAAATTATCCCATTTTTCATTTAACCTAATACTAAACCTTCTGAAAGGCATGGAATAAACTTGCTGTGTGCATATTAACAACTGATTGATTATTTATTTTCCTATCGTTAGGTTTCTATGCCCTACTCACCTCTAAATCTGTTCTTCCTAAGGTCCTCATTGCAAAATTCAATGGGAATCTTTTGTTGTAATCATATTTCACTTCTATGTCATTTTATATTGTTCAATTCTTTATTCCCTATTTAATTTGTTAATTTTAAATTTGTAGTAAGCAGAGAAAGCCATTTGACATTATAAATTTTTGAGTGATAAGTTATTTCTATTATTAATGCTCCTCAGTGAATATTGAATGTAATGTTTTAAAATTTTGTAATTCACAAAGATATAATTCACAAATCATAAAATTCACCCTTTTTAAAATATATGACTAACTGGTTTTTGGTATAGTCATATAGTTGTGTAACCATTACCACTGTCTAAATCCAGAATATTTTTTTACCCCAAAAAGAAACCCTGTACCATTAGCCATCATTTCATGATTTCCTCTTCCCCCAGGCCTCAATCAACTACTAACCTTTCTATGGACTTGACACTTCTGAATATCTATATATACAAAAGGCTAATATGCAAAGTGTCCCCTTGGGAGTTCTACTGGGAAACCGGGAATTCGATCACTTGCTATGATGTGCGCTGACCACCAAGGGGGCGGTGTGGAACAAAGGAAGGCCCTGGCCAGCAGCCAGCAGTCAAAGAAGAGAGGCACTGGCTGGCAGCCAGAAGGTGCCAATCAGCCCTGATCGCTAGCCAGGCCTAGGAACCCTACCCATGCACGATTTTCATGCATTAGGCCTCTAGTTTCATATAAATGGAATCTTATGTGTCTGGCCTCTTTTTTTTCTTTTTTTTTAAAAAAAAATGTTTTATTGCTTAAA